CATCACTGTTATGCATATACATGTTATGAAGTCCCTATGTAGTAAGCATTAAAATGGTTCTTTGATGTGTCATGTCTATATATAACCGTTGCCTTTATAGAAGAACCCTTGAAAAAGCCCTTTTTAGGAGTGAACTTATATCTACAGTATTGAATTAACTCTCAGATTTGATTGAATGCCCACAGTGTTTATTACAGTGTTTGAAACATGACAACAGGGATTTGGATCTGTTTCTATGAATGCATCATACTTTATGTAGTGACAGAACAATACTGTTAATTCATTATAGAATGACTTTGAAGTCCCTATATAATCTGTTCAAATACAGTGTAGCAAAACGTTCTATGTAGTACCTGGTAGCAATAACAGAAGCCTATTTGGTGCTGTATAGAACCATATACAACAGGTTTACGACAGAAAAAAACAAGCATTCAACTGTTTATTTTTTTGAGGTTTGTTTTTTTTTGAGGTTTTTTTTTTTTTTTTGAGTTTTTATGGATTTATATATAACCATTGCTTTTACTTAAGAACCCTTAAAGATTTTTTAGGTGTGTACTCTGAATATTTTGCACAAAAAGTCTGCATCTGTAGATTTGGCACTGTTGAATGAACACAGGGATTTGTGACTCTTTCTATGAATGCATCGTTCTTTAAGTTTTTAAGGGAAAATATTATTTTACATTATAGGCTGGAGAGCGCCCAATGACTGACCACATCACTTATATGCTTATACGTGTTATGAAGCCCCTATGTATCATCTTCACTTCAAATACAGTGTAGCAAAAACATTCTACATAGTACCTTGTAACATTAACAAGCCTATTTGGTGCTATATAGAACCATTTTAAAAGATTTTTAAAAGAACCATATACAACAGGTTTATGATCATAGAAAAGAGCCATTTAAGCATTTTTTTTTCCATTTTGTCATGGTTTTATATATACCCTTTTACTTAAGAACGCTTAACGAGTTTGTTAGGAGTGTACTCCGAGTTTCGAGCCAAAAGTTCTTTAAGTTGTTAAGGGACAATATTGTTACATTATAGAGTGGTGGGCACCCAATGACTGACCACAACACTGTTATGCTTACACATATTGTCCCCTTGGCATTATAAGGTTCTGTCTGACATTTTTGTCAAAATTGAGTTATTCACATATTCTTATTCTGTGACAACATCTGCAAGTCAAACTCTAACTTAGTTCTATAAAGTTCTATCTGCGAGCCAAGCAGCACTTCGAAAACACACAAGAGGACCAAGCTCTGCTTCGTCATGTCGGCGCACAGCTCAGCGACTGCGGGAAAAGGAGCACAGCAGTCAAATATGAGGAAAATGCCACACGAGAAGTTTAGGAGAAAATTCAAGATGGAGGATTTCACTGATGACAACAGTAGGATAACAGTACAAATGACAGGCAAGTTAAGTCTTTTTAGTCATTTTAGTTCTTGTGGAGGAGAGTTTCTATTGTTAGCTACCGCGCTAGCCAGATAACGCTAGCTTGCTAACGTTAGTCTGCCAGCTGATGCTAACCTTATGAGGCAAGCATTAAAGGATAAGTTTGGGTTTTTGAAGAAAGATTATTCTTACAGTTACCTCTGTATTAAAATGTTAATGACTGCAGAATGATTGTAACAGATTTTAATGTAGCCTTTAGCTAGTCAATTGCACCATGCGACTAACTTTTTTGTATCTTTTTGTATTTTTGTGATGACCCTGATCCCTGACATGGTGAATGTTTTCTTTTTCTCCAGGCTAGTGAGGTAGAGGTAGCAGAAGGAGGGGCAATGGAGCCGTGGGGTATTGCAAGGGGCCCACCTGTGGAGCCAGCAGCTCGCAGATGGACAGTATTACAGTGCTTTGTTGAAATAGTTAGTCAAGACTATAGGGCTCAGAATCTGCCAACTTCATGATTTAGAGGTATTTTATGAAATTGGGATGAAACGATGTTTTTAATTGTTAGTAGAAACTGAGTTGTTGAATAGTTTGAAAAGTTTTGCAATGATAATTTAACTTAATAATTATTTCTAAGTTTGTATATTTGTATGTCCAAGTTTATAAAACTTTGTGAATCATAAAAACATGTTGTTGAAACTCTGTCTCCATGCAATTCTTTAAAAACTCTTATTGTCTTAAATTTTAGAAATATTAAGACTTACAGGTAATTAAGTAGTGAACATTTTAATTGATGGGGTCTTAAATGGGGTCCTTCAGTAAAACATTTTGGCTCATTAGAGTCACATTTCTGATATAAAACAAAACCTCACACAGCCTTTATACTGACTGGCTACGCTTACTTGCTGGGACAGTTTATTACATTAGCTGGTTGCTGTGACACCTTAGGACACTTAAATTAATGGTTCCTACCTAAAACTGACCTCTGCACTGGACAAAATATTTAGCACTGATCTTTATACTTAATCTGCAATGCGTTTTTGAATAAGATAAAGATGATTTGCTCTAAAACAAGAAAATCTTGTAAAAAATAATAAGAATAAGAAATAATGTATAATGGATTTTGATATTGTACCTTTAGAATATATTTTTATATTCTATTTTATATTCTTTATATTTTAGGTTATTTACTGAATAACCCTTGGAAAACCACTTTTTAGGAGTGTACTTTGAATATTCAGAGCGAAGTGCCCATTGTTGATCATTGAAGTCCAGTTCGACACAAAGGACCCCAGGGATTCGGGACTGTTTCTATGTTTCTATCTAGTGATGGGACCATATTGTTGTTTTATTATAGGGTGAAATGCACTCAAAGACTGAACACATCAGAAATCATCTAGTCATAATTTTACACCAAGAATTTCTTTCTCCCCTTCACTCAAATGTAGTTGATCAGCTAAGACATGTTTGAGGTCTGAGGTTTACTTCTTTAGTTTGAGATTAAAGCACCAGGATGGCTGCTGCTATTGTTTATAGCTATGCAACATATTTTTATATTTAAGACATTTTCAGTGTCAAACCACGAGATTTATATCTTATGATTTATGATATAGAGATTATTTGAGGCATGCTTATGATGATTTAGGCATGTTGTTTGCATGATGCTAACCTGGTGACTATAAGTTTCCTTGTTAGCTACATTAGTCTCGTAGCTCCAGGGCAAAACTAAAACAGATTTTGGACAGTGGAAGATGTCTTGGCTGATCGACTGCATCTGGGGTAAGTGGAAAACTGTAAATCTGATTTTTTTATTTTTTTATTGCTTTAAGTTTTTTGCCTGTACTAATCAATCTTGTGAAATCCTTTGAAAGCAACAATAAGTTTGAAAAGTGCAAATGGGCATTGTTGAACATTTATGATGCCATTATAAGCAGGATTCCTTCCTGTCGTCAAACTATAATCCAGCAAATGCCTGTCTTATATTCCAGTTTAGTGTAGTGAGAGTTCCTTCCTCAAGCAAAGTCAGTAGATTTCTGTTTTATGGTTCAGTTTACTGAAGTGAATGACTGTAGATAGGACAAGTTTGTCTCGTGCTTGATTTAGGGAAAGGTTAGAATGTTTCATTGTAGGTTCACAGGGTTCATTTAATTTGCTGCTGTATGTCACTGTAATGGTGAGAATTCAAGCTTTCTACTGGCATAACTATTACAGTTTTACAGACAAATAATTGCCTTTTAAAATGTAGTTTTATTATAAAAGTGAAGAGACCTTTAATCTTTTAGTAAACTACAAACAAAAAGTACTCTTCAAAGATGTTCTGCAACTGCATGTTACATTGCATTGGGACTTCATAACACAATGCATAAGCATTGAATAACATTTAAAAAGCAATACATGAGTATCTATGAACAGCTCATGTGAATATTCACAATATGACATCTGATGTTTTATAACAGAGCCTTATTTATGAACCGTATCAATTCTATGAATGAATTTGATGGCCTTAATACACAGCGCTCTGCTGAAAAAAAAACAAAAAAAACAAAACAAATGCTGTTCTGGAGCTGGCCTGGTGCTTGTCACTGTCAGGACAAAACCTGGTATATCCTTTTTTTTTAATGTATGTATGTATTTGACAGTGACAGCGACAATCTGCTGGTTTTAGCTGGTGACCAGGTATGCTGTTTTTATTTTTTAGCAGTGTGATAATGATTCAAATTCTTCAGTCATTATTATTCTAAAGTAACAATACATTTATTTGTGAATGGTTTGATGCTGTTCTACTCATCTTGGCCTGTTTCCAAACCTGAATTATAGCCACATTATAATAAATAACATTGATTTCTACATAAGGGCTTCATAACACATGCATAAGTACTGAATAACATTTAAAAAGCAACACTAAAGTCTTTATGAACAGCTTATGTATTCGTAAGATGGCGTGCAGTGTTTTTATAACAGACATCTATTTATGGACCATAAATATCAGTTCATGAATGATTTTGATGTCCTCAGTCTAAAGTGGTAAAACATTTACTATGATAACACTTTCATTAAACTGTGTTCAGTAGCCATGTTGGATGGAAAAATTAAGGTAGTGCCAAAAACTTGAATGAATTAAAAAAATAAATAAATAAATAAATGAATGAATAAAATAAAAATAAGAACAAGTAAATATTTTCTTTAATGTCAAAACATTGTAAAAGAAACAGATCTTGTCATCTTGTGACTACTTACACAATATTCATAAATACTGTAATTGATGTTAGTTCATGTTTGTGTTATGAAGTCCCTGGGAATATTTACAGCAAAATCCACACCGTTAAATGACCATCTGCAGTGTTTAACTGACAGAGATGACTGACCCCCTGTAGTGTTCATTTAAGTCCAGTCTGACCCAAATGACCTGTGAATACAGTTTTGGGGATTTTCCTGTTGAGTTTTCAGTTTTGAATTTTGTTCCAGTCGTCGAGTTAATGGCGCTGTTTTCCTGGACTGTCTCTCTCCTGTGTGTGACTCTGAGCTGGAGAGTGTGTGGGGAATGAATGCCTCCTGTGTGTGTCTGTCTGTAAGCTCCACACCCGCCACCCTGGACGTGTCACTGTAGGTGTAGCCTCAATCAGGTTACCCCGTTCATTCAGGAGCCTATCTGCTGCTTCTGTGTAATAAAAGCGGGTAAAGGCGTTTGATATTAACTGCTGGACAGGAGTTGGAGAGGACTGTTCTGTACTTTGTCCTTTGAGGCCCAGCAGAGAGGTGAGGCGGTTATAAATAGAGCCTTTGAAACTTGTGAGTTTGCACATGGCAGCCATGCTCTCCTGGGTCTTTCTCAGCTCGCTCCTTCTGCTGCTACACACAGGTAAGACAACATTGTGGCTAACTTTAGGCTACAGAAGTAGCTTCAGTGATTCTGTCAGTCTAACATGGTTTATGGGGCACTTTAGAGGAACTTGCAACTTAAAGTTACTTTACAGAGTACTTTTCTGTTAACGGCTGAGATTAAAAATCGATCCTCTTCGTGTAGCGTCCGGACAGAGCAGCATAAGATGGTGCACTATATCACCACAAGAGGATGCCAAGTGTTCAGCCATGGCCCAGGCTTTCAGCAGCGCAGCTATCCGGCCAGCGGTGCAGTGCAGCCGCGCTGCTTCTGTAGGAGAATGTGCTCAGAAACTCATGGTATGTACTTTAAAAGGACTGTAATTCGCATTTAGAAATGAGCAGAGATGAGTGAAATAGCCTGAAACCGGTTTCCTAACTATGGACCTGCAGTGGTACATCCAGCATCTATCAGTATGGTTTGTTAGGCCTTACTTTTTCTTTTTCTTCTTTGGGTAATTAGGATAAAAATGTATATGTGCTAAATATATTTAACTGTGCCTATCATGAATATTTAAATATACGCCAATATATGTACGTATAAGTCAATATATTAACATATAAATAATCATTTTTTTTATATTTACACAGATGCCAAGCATATATGGAATATATTACAAATTGGACACATGTTTTGGAAAATATACGTAGCGTTATCTCCTTTCCATGTGAGAAATAATGGCGTTCCAAAATAAAAGTTGTGAGCCACAGCAAAGCAGTTCGGACAAAATAGAATAAAAATAAAATTAAATCCAAAGGAATTAAGATCTAAATGTGAGTGACTAAAATTGAGCTTAGGAAAAAAGTAGATTCCAGAAGGATCATTCAAAATACTTGGAAACGTTTTTGCATAATCAAATTGTATTTAAATATGTGTAAGTGAATAGTTACTGCCCATCTCTGTAGTTACCATAAGTGATTTGCCCAGTCAAAAGCAAATAGTTTATCACTGGAATTAAAGGTATAGGCATATTTAACCCTTTACTACATGGTGTCGCCATACGGCAACCGTTACTTTTTAAATTTATTTTTTGTCTACAATATCAAAGCCATTTGTATCATTTTCTTTGGGAAAGTAAAGGCCTTCTAAATAACATGGTGTGCTTTTTTTCTAAGCATATGCAATCCTGTTGCAATCTGCACTTCCTTTTTTTTTATACACACATCACATGGTGAGACCTGGTTTCTGAAGCCCTCTTAAAGCATGTGTGTAACAACATCAAGAAAAAAATTATATACATAATCTGTGGAACATTACACTTTCCAATGTAATTATTTTCATAATCCTTTTGTATTCCTGAAACATATATGCATATTTGGTTGTTATGCACATTTTTCTATGCCCAGATGATAAATATGGCTATGTCTTCTGCAGATAACAGTTCCATTGTTGCATGATGTTTTTTTTGTGTATTTCATATTCAGTTCATGCAGCAAAGAGATTTTTACAGATAATTTTGTGCTTAGATATTATTACATGAGATTTTACTCATCTGCTGTGCAGGTTTATTGACTACTTCTGAAAACTTTTTTAAAAAATCTGCACTGTTTCTTAGAAAAATGAAGCAGATGCATTTTCTGCCAGTGCCAAAGACATCTACGAGATTGGGAAGCAAGCTTCGTTCAGAATAGCTGCTGGAGAGTCCAGTTCTGATGGTATGAGTTGTTTTTTTTTAATCCATCAAAAAATTTGTCTTCAGCGTTATAGCAGATGTGATTGCATGTTTTCTTTTTGTCTGAACTCTGACTTCGAAGGGCTGTTAGTAGAGAATCGCTAAGCATGAGTTATTGTTGAGATAAGAAGGATTTAATCTTCTTTATGTAATTGCTTGGTGTAAAACTGTCTTATCTCTGTAAATTCTAAGTTGTAAGTTGATTCAGATACCCATTCACATAGCATTGAACTCTTGCCTTGTAGGGGAAGAAGGAACAACCTACTATGCAGTTGCTGTGGTGAAAAGGACTAATTCAGCCATTAACATCAACAACCTGAAGGGGAAGAAGTCATGCCATACAGGCATTGGTCGTACAGTTGGCTGGAACATGCCCATAGGCTATTTGATTAATAGCGGAAAGATGTCCGTTATGGGCTGCAACATACCACAAGGTGCGCTGCAAGACTGTTATTCTCAATTCAGTGTTTGTGTATGGTGATTGGGACGCTTTACTGGCAGTTAAATAATCCTCAGTTGTAAAATAATCAATTAGTTATAAAGGAATAAAAGTAAATGATTGAATATGTTTGAAGGAGAAACTATACAGTTGTTTGTGGATGTCTAGGTGTTGCAGATTTCTTCAATGCTAGCTGTATTCCTGGAGCAACAGGCGAGGCACCATCCCTGTGCCAGCTTTGCCAGGGAAATGGATCTGGAAGCTATAAGTGTGAGGCGAGCATCAATGAGAAATATTACTCATATAATGGAGCCTTCAGGTAATCCTCTTTCCACACATTCATACAACAAAAAAAATACATTTTGAGGAATATATGGTCCTCCAGGGCTGCACAATGTGGACACAATACTAGTTTTATGAGTATACTGCTACATATTGTGATTGTAGATATTGTTAGATTACACCTTGTATTCCTTGGTTAATCAAAACATCTGGAACTGTAATATAAGTCTATAAGTTTGGGCCCCCCAGGCTATTTTTACAGTTAATTTGAATATTCCAAATGGGCCTCCTGACCAATCCCAATGTGGTACTGCAAAGGCCAATATTGCAATAGTAGTAAATTGTACAGTCTTCTGAATGTATTAGTCAACTTAGTCATGGATTATTTTGCTCTTTGCAGGTGCCTGGTTGAAGATGCAGGAGATGTAGCGTTTGTTAAACACACCACGGTTGGTGAAAACAGTGACGGTAAGCATAGTGTCACTCAGATTGAGCCATACTAAACTCTGATGTCTCACAGTGATACAGTGCTAATAAGAAACCTGAATTTGTAGGTAAAGGGGAGCAGTGGGCTCAGGGCCTCCTCTCTGAGGACTACCAGCTGCTGTGCCCAGATGGAACTCGCAGTCCTGTCTCAGATTACAGACGTTGTAATCTGGCCAGAGTGCCATCGAGAGGCATTGTGGTCCGCAGTGACATTGATAGCTCTGTGGTGTACTTCATGCTCAGGGAAGGCCTGGTAAGAACCTGTGCAAAGGTGTAAATCTTTATATGAGTGGTTGATTGCTCAAATGTTGATACATAAGAAATATGTTAATTATATTTCCTAACAGCACTTTGATTACTTCTGGAACTCTTTTGTCTCACAGTTGCCATTGATACAGACTGAATTCTGACACTGGTTTCTAAATAGACTGATAACTGTATAGTGAAATTTACTTGATGAGTTAGTGGAGCTGTGTTTTCTCTCCCTACAGCAAAAGTCTGGCTTTTCACTTTTTTCATCGGCTGCCTTTAATGGTGAAAACCTGTTGTTTAGTGACAGCTCAACCAAGTTTATCCCCGCTGGTCATGAACACTACATTGACTGGATGGGTCGACAATACTACAACATATTAAAAGGCATGGACTGCTCAAAAGCTGGTAAGGTGATATATATATATATATATATATATATATATATATATATATATATGTATGTATATAGTGTGTGTGTAAGTGCGACAAAACTTGTTGATCATATTTTATCTAATAGTAATAGTCATTTATTGATTGCACAATAATATTCAGACTGTCTGTTGTTTTAGTAAAAATCTGTAGTCCCATGTGACCAAAAGTGTGAATTAAATGGCAAATGAAATGACAAAAACTGAAGTTTAATTTAGTTAGTTTAGTTATATGACTATTGATTGATATGAAAGACTTCTTTAAATGTGTGTTCAAGCTCAGAGAACATATTAACGAAATGACTACATGTATACATTCCATTAATGTGTTGAACATGTGGAAGCATAGAGCAAAAAAAGTATTTTATGTTACATCTGTGTATTTGCAGATGTTCCTGAGTATCTTCGCTGGTGTGTGCTGTCTCAAGGAGAACAGCAGAAGTGCGCAGATATGGCTGTAGCCTTCCAAACCAAAGGAATCACTCCCTACATCAGATGTGTGTTTGGAACATCTGTGGATGATTGCATGAAGAAAATACAAGTGAGCCAACCAGAGATAGCAGCTAAATATCAAAAATGCTGCTTTTCACATATAGTCCAAAATGTGTTGCATCTTGTGTAACAGCAGTATGACCAGAGTAGTGCTACAGAATTGGCCTCTAATGCTTTTTACTTATAAATACAGGACAAAGAGGCAGATGTCATCACTCTTGATGGAGGCTACGTCTATACTGCAGGGAAAACTTTTGGCCTGATACCTGCTGCTGGTGAAAGCTACACAGGTTAGACTCAGCCGCATGTCTTTTTGTTGGACCAAGGTGCAGCGACCTCTGTTAGGCTAGGCTAAGTGTATTATCACAGTGCTCAATATCAAAATTATATTATGGCAAAAAACTTAATAACACTTATTATTGAACTCTCATTTTTGAGTTTATCAAGACAGACGTTTGTTTTCTAAATAATTGAAACGTGGCCTCATTCTGCATGTTCTAAAGAGAAGATTAACAGTCAAATAAGACCTACAATACCACGTAGTGTTCATTGCACTGTGTTTAAAACAAATGCAAGAAGGCTTATACTTTATGTTAATTATTTTTTTAAGCATAAGATCACGTTATTTATATTTTTAGATATTTTAATGGGGCTGTTTTAGCCCACTTAAGTAAAATTAGCATGCACAGTTTGATTTGTGTATAGGCAAAATACAGCATGAATGTAGTGTAATAATTTATATAAAGAAGTAAAAGTATCAACAGTAGGGCCTGTGGATTATGTTAATAATCCATTGACCATTAATAGAGTGTCGGGCTTGGCTAAAGACGCAGTTTAAAAAGAACATTTGGACAGGTTGGACAAACAAGGCAAAGAGCTAGACTGGCATAAGGAGAAGGAAAAACTTTAGCAATGTGTTGAGACATACATCTATATGGCATAGACATAGACACAGACACAGACATGTGGCTCAGTTCTGAGTATGGACCTATGTTCAGTGCTTTGTCATGAGAGAACAAATACAGCGCATATGTGGACCACTCTACTGAATCATTCAAACTGTGGTCCTACAGTAAAAACTATTTAAAAAAAAAAACAATTAAGTATTCAGACCATAGATATTTACAAGGATTATGTAATGACCTATTCAAACTCAAGGCATTTTTATTGAGATAGTAATATGCTAAATATATACAAAATCATCATTGATAGAGTATTTTCTGTTGAGAGGTGGCTGTCCCAGCCAGGTGAAAATAATACTACATTTTTTTGTAGGTTTTTTTTTTTTTTACATTTTTTTTAAATGTTTTTTTTCGATTTCTTTTAAAGTGAATTGTAATAGATTTATCACAGGTTTAATTTTAAAATAAAAAAAAATATAAAAAAAAAGCAGTGTGCTTTTTTATGTCATTCCCAAAACTTTTTTGTGTTTAATAAAAAATATTATAATTTTATGTATGTACAACTGGTTCAAAGCTGAATTTGCTAGACATGTACTGGTTAGTATTTTTTAATTATTCGCAAAATTAGCTAAAATTGTCACTACCACAACAGTCAGTACCGAAACATTTGATAAAGTTTGGCCAGTGTTATGATTGTTTTGGTAGTGACAAAATGTAATGTTTGATCATTTGTTTTAATAAACAGTCATAATTTAGGTATAGAGTCATTAAAAGCAATAAGATTTTAGTCTAAAGCCAAGAGCCAAGTCCAAAATGGGGTTTCAACTCTGACTTTGAGCCAGTTTGGTAAAACTGATCCATTTACACTAAGTCAAAGGTTCACAAAGGTGAACCAAATCAGAATTCACTAGAGTGTGCTGCCTGGGAAATGGGAGTAGGAGTAGTGGTTTCCAATGAAGGGTTATGGAAAATGAAGTCTGTAGAGGATGGGCTCAGCCATATGACATTTTTTTAATGGCCAAAAAAATAACAAACAATAACCAACAATGCTCAGTCTTACAACATTCTAAAATACTTAAAAATGCATATTAATGGGCAGTAATTCTTACTAGGACTAAGGCCAGTAGGTGAATTTAAAATATGCCAAATGCAAATTGCCAAGTACCGTACTCAGTGCACTCCAAGTAAATTATTGAATAGTTTACTGTCTTGTAGTATTGAAAAAGCAACTTTTGACACATGATGCAACACAAGTGTCACCCTCAGTTTGTAACACTTCACAGACCAGGCTGTGTCTTACTGTTTTAGAGGATAATGATGGCAGTGTCTATTATGCTGTGGCTGTGGTGAAGAAGAGCAACAGCAACATCCAAAGATTCACTGATCTGAGGGATCGAACATCCTGTCACACTGGCTATGGCAGGACTGCTGGCTGGAACATTCCTGTGGCGGTACTCATAGAGAAAGGCCTTATCAGACCACAGCAATGCCAGGTTGCCCAGGGTCAGTAAACAGTGATACTCTGTGTGTAATAGAGTGTTTAATTTCAAGGTCTGTATGTGATGTTCATTGTTAAATGTACTATTTACTAAATTTGCGGACTGCTGTCAGCTACAGTGTGAATAATTGTCAGTGTGTAAATGATCTCCTGTAGCTGCTGGAGAGTTTTTCAAAGGCAGCTGTGTCCCGGGTGCCAATCAGCCTGGTTTTCCCAGTAACCTCTGCTCGCAGTGTATTGGAGACTCCAGCGGGCAGAATAAATGTGTTAAAGGCCAGGATCTGTTTGATGGTTACAACGGAGCCTTCAGGTAACTTTCTTGACAAAACTTTACTGATTCCTGTTTTTTTTTTGCTTTTATTTGTGTTTTGTTTTATTGCTAGATTTTACCGTGTTGTCTGATGTTTTGCTTTTGCTAGTTCTTTTGTTTTAAGTTTTGTTGTTTATGTCTGTATTGTATGTTTAGTCTTTGATCTGTTTTTGCCATTTTTGTAAAGCGATCTTTATTCTGAGATGATCAATAAATTGAACAGTTTTTTAAAAAAATGTATTACTTTAAGTTTAAGAATTTCCCTAAGTAATATTAACTGAAAAAGACCTCTTTACTGTCAGGTGTCTGGTTCAAGGAGCAGGAGAGATTGCCTTTGTGAAACACTCCACGGTATTCCAGAACACTGATGGTGAGTCACACTGCACAGTTCTTTTAGCTCTGACTTGTTCAAAGTCTGTTTCCACATTCTGTGTCACATTACGACACATTAGTTACATACTACAAATTAAAAGTGTTTTTTTCATTTTCAGGAAATAATGTGGATCCTTGGGCAGTTAACTTGAACTCAAAAGAATTCCAGCTGCTGTGTCCTCAAGAGTCTCGTGCTGAGGTCACTCAGTATAAACAGTGTAACCTTGCCCGTGTTCCTTCTCATGCTGTGATGGTTCGGGCTGACACCAATCCACACGTCATCTTTGGCCTCTTGGACAAAGCCCAGGTAGGCATTATTTTCCTTTAAAATATTTAGCATGACAATGTGAAATGATGCCATAGGTAAGTGGGTTTATACAAGAGAGCTTTTTAAAAATAATGTGAGACTCTCTGTAAGTGGTTTACACTCTGCATTTTCTGTAGCTACTCACATTAAACCAGGTCAGCAAATCCTCCAGTAATATTCAGAGAATATTCGGCTTGAATTGTTTTGGTTATTAGTAAAGGAATCCAGGTAAAACAGCAACGACTAACAAATCAAAGAATAAGTTACGGAATACCTGTTTCAAATGTCTCTGTTAAAGCTAGAGCTTGTAATAAATGCCATAAAATATAAACACCACTGTAAGTTTGGTGCTAACATAGCATAGGGAAGTTGAAAGTCACACTATACCAGTGCTGGTAATGGAATAGGCAAGGTTATTTACAAAGCGAAATGCAAAATGCTAGTTAATGACATGCACGGCTGGCATATGTTTATGATTTTTTGACTGTTTCATCTGTCTATCAGTTAACTGATATATTTTATGATATATTGAGATATTTTTGTTTTGTCCAGGCACTGGAAAATATCTTGATATATATTTCATGAATTTCAAAAGTATAATTAAAGAAAGGAAGGAAAAATCAGTAAATTGGACTGTAAGTGGAAAATGGGTGATGATTAGTGGAATTTTGCCTAAAACTCTGCTTAAACACTGGTGGGACGCCCAGAAAACGCTGAGCAAAAGTGGATCACCAGCTTTGCCATGAGCGGGCCAACAGTGGCCCTCTGTCCTCTTGCTATCAGGGCCTAATGGCTGTATCTTGGGGTTTCTTATCTTTAGAAATTTTATGGCGTTAACACTGACTCGGACTTCAAGATGTTTGACTCCAGTAAATATGAGGGATCAGACCTAATCTTCAAAGACTCCACTATGAGCATAATTGGTGTTGGAGAGAAAAAGACCTATGAGGAATGGCTCGGCCAGACCTACATGGATGCCCTTATAGCTATGGAGTGCACATCCTCTGCAGCAGGTGGGCTACCACACAAGTCTTGTCCATTTACACTATGTATGTCCGAATGTTTCAAGACACCCCTCAAATTAAGGAACTCACCTTCTTTAAGTTGCACTCATTGCTGTTCAGGTACACACACAAAGCTTGTATAGTCTTCATAGAAAAGCACTGTCAATATGGGATGCTCTGAAGCAGCTGCGCATGACTCTAAGGTCACCATGCCCAATGGCAAGTGTCAGCTAAAAGGGTATAAAGCCCCTTGTCATTGAGCTGTGAACCAGTGATGGAGCTCCATCTAGTATCTTTGGATAAGTTTGAGTGGCATTTGTGATCCAGAACTAATTATCTAACATCATTAGCTGACCTCATTAATGTTCTTATGGCTGAGTGCAATCAGATCCTCACAGCAATGTTCTAACATCTAGTGTAAAGCCGTCCCAAAAGAGTAGAGGCTGTTACTGCAGTAAAGGGAGGGACAAACTCCATATTAACACCTTTGATTTCAGAAGAAATGTTGGATTAGCAGGTGTCTACAAACTTTTGGACATACTATGTATCTCATTTGAACCACTAATCTTATTTTTTTATGCATTTGTGATGATTTTGTGCATGTTTTGATTTCTCTTTTTGCAGCGTTGTCTTCAGCCACACTGCTGCTGGTGACCAGCTTGTCCGTGCTCTTCTCTTTATTGGCGGTGTAGCGGGTCTGCCAGCCGTCCTGGGCTATCACAGCTGTTTCTTTTGGCCCATCATTTTCTTCTTTATATCTTTACTCTTTCAGTGATCAAGCTTCACATAGTATCCTTGAAAGATCATATTAAAATCCAAAGCTACTGTAAGTTGTCTTTAACATGGGTTAAGCATTCTATCAGGAATAGTATTAGTATTTTTGGGGCAGCTCAGTTGCTGTAGAAAAATTTCTGTTCACATTTCATTAACAAATTGGATACATATTAAGTTGCTTTTGATCTATAATTTTGCACGGAGGCTGTAAATAATATGATTGCTTGCACTAAATTTATGTGGTCATACTACGGTTCTCGTATGCTTCAGAATTTAGAGTCAGTCTTGATCCAGCAAATCAGTGTCCTTCGGAACGCACTCAAGTGAATTCTGTTAGATTAGCCTTGTACAGCCATTCCTCAACCCTAGGAGCTTTCATTTTATTGCTGTTTCATGCATATTGTGGGCCTTTATTCTAGGAGTCTGATATATTTTATGTACTTATCTGCTGATGCTGATACCAATGTACAAACTGAGACTAAATCTACCTGGATTAGAATTACAGAGAAATTACATTTATTTCTGTAGGGTTACAAATGCAGTAAAACGAATAAAATGCAGATATTTTAGCACAATAACCCACCAATAAATAGGCATCAGATATCAGTTTAAAATAGCAGTCAAATCTGAGCATCTGTCCAGTGCTGATACATTTTTAAGCAATTATCTGCCGATACTGACATAATTCTCATATCATCATGCATCCCTAGCATCAAATGTCAATGCTATCCACAGAGATGACTCACATAGTGTTATATATAGCCAATGGTCAAACAAAATGAAAGCTTTTGGATTTCAGAATAGTGATACAAGACTAATCTTTCAGGACAGGTTTTGATCTAAGCTCGTCTGACTATGATGATGAATAATTTCTACTGAATTTGAAACAAATTTGACAAGTTTTTGACAAGTCTTTAAGGTATACATCATGCGTATATAATTACTGCAGTGATCAGATTACTGAGGGCAATAGCCATATCAGTGCATATGCTTTGCCTGTTACATATTTATTATACAGTGTTTGATGTTGTGTGAACTTTTTTTATTGAACTACTTGATGGCACATGCCATGTCAGAGAATATGCGGTGCTTTGAACATTCCAGCTGACATGTTATCTGAACCAGTGTCAGTTAGTATGCACTGGTGTGTCACTGCAGAATTTCTCCAGAGAGTAAAGTATCATTTTTTTTCCTTTTATCGCTTCAGAATTTAAAGTAAATTGGGATCATGTTCTGACAACCAGTTCTGTCTGTCAGCTTTGTGTGAAGCATGTGTTTCATAGCGTTTCAAATTTTGTGTTCAAAATCAAAATTGTGTTCTGTTCTACATTTGATCTTTGATAAAGTGCACATGCTTCATCAGAAGAAATTCAGAGCTGTCTCTACTTTTCTGGTAACAGTTACTAGTAGTGCAGTTGCAAAGAATGTGCATTAATAGTGATACATAATGTACTCAGTCAAATTCAGCTAGATCTTGTTAGATTTCCGCTAATGTGGAATGCTTTGTATTTTCTTGCACTTTTCACTTGTTTAATGGAAAGTATGATGTATGTAATTTGTCTGTTTTGTAGTGTACACCTAAGAGAAATTTATTTTTATACGATGTTCAGATACCATATCAGTGTATATGTACTGACACATTGATGCCTTACATTAATGCTTGCTTTACTGTTTTATAGCGATTTCTTCTGTGAAATGATTGAGATGTAACTAATATTTAGTTGCCAGGCCAGTGCGTCTGCTGAAGTATTATTACATGTTGCCCAAATCGGGATCTAATAAATGAGCACACCGCATTTTTGTCATCACTGAGCTTTCGAACCAGGATCCATTGTGTGTCAGACAATCTAGAGGCATTTTAGGCCTTTTAGACCCTGTAGACCAGGACTGGTGCCTTGTTTTATGTAGTGCTGGGTGGTGGTGATAAAATTCAATATTGATTATATCAGTGACACGTAATCAGGTAATATTTAATTTTGCACTGATAAAGTTAATGAACCCCATGTTTCCTGAGTGCTGCTACACTGAAAGGTTGTCTTATAAATCTGACACTGCTTGTTTTGATTGGACTGTATTGTTCTGTTTTCTTAAAATTACACCAAAGGGAACCTTACGCGGTATTGGAAACGTAAATTGGACAGAGAGCACATTTACAGAAAGGAAACTTAAATTTATTTAGTTTATATAGTGCTTGTAAGGCACTCAGCAAATGACATACACTGCAGACACCATATGCAAAATGCACAAAATAGGATAAAAAAGTGTTCTATTTTAGGAAATATGCTATAATTCACATCATCTGTCAATACTTTGAACACTGAATATAAGTATGGTGCATCAGTATCAAGGTATATCAGTACACCGCCCAGCATTCCCATACGGAAATCTGATTTCTGGACATCTGTAATTAACAGCCAGGAACATATATATATATATATATATATATAATGTCTGAGTGGATCAGATACAGCAGTGCTGCTGGAGTTTTTAAATACCTTCGTGTCACTGCTGGACTGAGAATAGTCCACCAACCAAAAATATACAGTCAGCAGCGTCCTGTGACCACTAATGAAAGACTAGAGGATGACCAATACAAACTGCAGCAGCAGATGAGTTATGGTCTCTGACTTTACATCTACAAGGTGGACTGACAAGGTAGGAGTATCTAATAGAGTGGACAGTGAGTGGACAGTGTTTAAAAACTCCAGCAGCACTGCTGTGTCTGATCCACTTGTAGCAGCACAACACACACTAATACACCACCACCACGTCAGTGTTACTGCAGTGCTGAGAATGATCCACCACCCAAATAGTACCTGCTCTTGGAGGGTCCATGGGGGTCCTGATGACTGAAGAACAGTGTGAAAGGGGGCTAACAAAGTATGCAGAGAAACAGATGGACTACAGTCTGTAATTGTAGAACTACAAAGTGCACCTATATAGTAAGTGGAGCTGATAAAATTCACAATGAGCGTAGAAACAAGGAGGTGGTCATAATGTTATGCCTGATCAGTGCATGCCCTACATTTCAGAATAATGTTGTATATCATATATTGTTAAATTGTATTTACACGTTTGAGTATGTTGATGTAAGACTGAAATAAATGTCCCATATGTAAAAAATGGCCAGTTTCAAGTTGGCATATACGTATGTCCACATGTGGCAAATATAAGTTGGACATAAGGGAAATCCATAAATGATAATATACGTCATATATTTGAAACCCATATATTGCCAAACATCAGATTTCTGCAGGCTAGTCTGCAGTTGCTAGCTAAACAGGATATAAACCTCACAACCCACAGAAACCAGCTCAAAGCAAGCTTTTAAGGCAATAAAGTGCTGAGAATGGACAGACCATGAGAATATACACTCTATGACTATAATAACACATGTAGCTCTCAGGTTATCAGTAACCGGTTGAGCAATTTACTTATCTGTGAACTCTCAACGTCGAGGTAAGCACATGCTGGAGTTCCACGCTCCTGTTCAGTCATATCTTCAGTCTTAAGAGGCTTCAAAGTTCAGGCAGACATGAAGGCCGGCAGACCTTAAATCCAGAGAGGACAACAAGGTATCTGATAAATAAAGACATTGTGTCACACACAGTGTATCAGTATACTTAAGGTCAAAACATGAACTACATTAAGCTCATCCTAATTCATCATTTTCTTAACAAAATAGCAGGTTGGGGTTTCATCTGGACTTAAGATCCAACTGGCAAAATGAACCATTGGATCCTGGCCATTTAAGGGGTTAGGAGTTAGACAGATTCTGCTCAGAGCAAGTCAGATTGTCTAAAGAGTATCAACCGTAGACTGACTACATAATACAGTCTATGGTATCAACCAGTGTAGCTCCATATCATGGCAATGACAACAGCACCATCTGCTGGGCTGACCGCACACTGTTATTTTTATAACAAAGTACCTCTCGGAGTTGGAACTTTTCTCTTTGTTCTTTACTTTTCATTACTTTCTTTCTAATTTCTTTTTTCTTTCCTTTTTTCTTCTTTACATTTATTATTTATTACTTTCCTTTTTTCTTTTCTTTTCATTAATTTCCTTTCGTTTTCTTATTCTTTTCCTTTTCATTTTTTGTTCTTTTATTTCAATTATTTTATTTTTATTCCTTTTCCTTTCCCACTTTTTCCTGTCCGTTCATTTCATTCTTTTCATTCTTGATTTTTCTTATTTTTTCCATATTTGTTTTTTTAATATATATTTTTCCTTTCCTTTCGTTGCTGTTCATTACTTTATTTTAATTCCTAATTTCTTTTCCTTATATTGTTTTTTTTTTTAATTCCGTTTATCGTTGGACTCTTAATATAAAGGCGTCTGCTGTATTAGCTTGTTGCTGTTGCTGCTCGCTTCACTCCTCTTCTCCTCTCCTCTCCTCTCCTCTCTCTCTCTCAGCGCTCTTTTAAGCTCTCAGCTCTTTCATATTTAACCCTACTACTCCGCGTCCTGTGCTGAGTTCATGTCTCGTTTCAAACGGGGAGGTAAAGTAGACTCCAGGGCGGGATTCAGACAGGAGAAAGAGGGATGTCCTGTGCCGTACGGGCTGCTGAAGTCCGCCAGAACGAGCGGGCAGCTCAATCTGTCTGGGCGCGGTCTGAGCGAAGGTAACGAAACAGACAGAAACGGGGCTGATAAGGACTCGGTAACGACATTCAGAACGACTTTAATGTGTGAACAGATCAGAGACAGAAGCGGGATATTTAAATAGTGAATATTATCATTTAGGTCTTCTGTGCTAGTGAGACTGAGCAGTAGCCAGACTAGCCAGAGGAGTGACCACCACAGCTGACAGGCTAACGACAACTTACCTGACGTTACTCCAACTGAACACTTCAAACTTAGTGAGAGGTTTTTATCACTAAACCACATTTTCCATTTGCTGCACTACTATGTAAGAGTATTTTAGTGAAATGCTGAAATACTGTTTTTAGAAATAGGAGCGCTCAGGAATTTGAGCCCAAAAGTGCTGAAAGGTTTGAATTCGGGGCGAGCTCCACTACAGACACCACAGGTTGAAGAAGAAGGCATTTATACACACTACACTACATATAACAATGAAGACTTTTGAAACAAAGGTTATTTTTGCTGTTCAGCTATAGTGGCGTCAACATAGCTCTTCTTTAGGTTTTTGCGTGGCTAAGTGGCTAAATTTCAGAGTCTTACTGAGAAATGTGAGTGAAAGTGTGAATAGGTGCCACACTGTTAGCACCAATTCCAGGGGGGCTGACTGGCTCTACAAGCTTCACTGTGTCTCTGTTTCCTTTTCTTTCTTGATTCAATAGTGTATTAGTTAGTTAGTGTACTGACACCAATGGTAGTCCTGTATCTGTTCACTTTAGTTCCCCAGAGCGTATGGAGGCTGAACATTGACCCACCTGAGGAAGCCCAGCAGAACTTGTCCTTCGCAGGGACAGACCGATGGTGGGAGCAGACAGATTTAACCAAGCTTCTACTGTCCTCCAACAAGCTGGAAACACTCTCTGAAGATGTCAGACTTCTACCTGCTTTAGTTGTCTTGGATGTAAGTTGCTTCAGCATCTCTACAGAGTGTATTCATTTGACTGGAAGTTCATGTGAAGGCTAGTGGGTCTGAAGAGCTCGCCGTTTTGTGTGAATTGACTTTTCTAGATTCATGACAATCAGCTCAGAACACTACCAGCATCCATTGGCGAGTTGGAGCATTTGCAAAAACTCATCCTGAGGTAGTTACATTGAAGTTTTCTTACATTTTAAACGTTGTATTTGTGTCTGTTCTGTAGACACAGGTGCCAAAAATAACCGTAGTTGTTATTCTGTTCAGTCATAATCAGCTGACAGAGCTGCCTTTGGAGCTGCGGAAACTGACAAACCTGAGATGTCTTCATCTGCAGCAGAACCTACTAGAACAATTGCCAGAAGACTTGGGGCAGCTATGTCATTTGGAGGACCTCGTGAGTATGAAAAAACTTATGGTTAGCAGGTGGCCCAGGAAGTCATGCTAATAAACTCACTTTGTATGACACATCTGTATGTCCCTTAGACTTATTACTACAGTTCTGCCCTGTTCAAAGAACGTAAATGAGGTGACCATACAATGGACAATGCCTGTAATATGATAAAAGTAAAGTTATATGATATGGACTAAATGACATTTTATTTTATGTTGTCACAGTGACGTGGGAAGGAGTTTGGGGTTGTGAAATTTTTAGCAGCGTGTAGGTGACGTACACAGTGATGTTATGCTATATATATATATATTAGTTCATGGATATTTCATTTGAATAGTTTGGATAACGTAAATGAGCTGAGCGCCTATCAATCAGACGCCTATAGTCAAACTACATGCGCACATTTAGCGGGAGATTATTATAATGAACTAAATACAGATTCTGTTTGCTATGTTTAAAATGTTTAAAATTTCTGCTTGTTTGTTATTTTTTTGTTATCGTTTTCAGCAGTTGCAAAATTTATTACGTCACAGATTTTCTGAGCATTTTGTGTATATCGTCAGTGCCTAAAAACACTGGTCAAGCAAATGCTTCCTTATGAAGGGACCATATTCAGTCCTGTTTAACTGAATTTACTGTAGCATAATTTGTGAAACAAAAATATTTCTTCTTATGGTTTTTGATGACTTGTATCCTGACGTGTCTTTGTGATGAATAAAGTGAAAATATCTTTAAGTATTCTAACATTTATGTTTTTGTCTTATTGTCTGCCTGTACTCTACAGTATGTAAAGATAGATGTAGTTACTTGCCAACATTAGGCTAGGATGCGGTTAATCAGCAGTATTTTCTTAATGCACAATACCTAAAACTTGATCTGATTTGTGTAGTTGATGTCTCAAGGTAAACCCAGCAGAGCTTAAAAATGTGCTAACTATCTAGGCTCTTTACTATTAAAGTAGCTATTGATGAATTATTATTATTATTATTATTATTATTATTATTTTAATATGAATAATACGTTTATGTAAACATTTATATATGGTCTGAAAACTTGGTTAGTGCTGTAAACCATGACCTTGACCAGACTCTTTTCTAATGAAGTACTTGTATGA